TGGTTCAGATGCATGAATTGCTGAAAAAATTGTTAAAATCTGTAGGGAGTTTTGCAGCTAAACCCAAAACACCTCTTCATCAAGCACAGTGTTCCTTACGTTTCTCGGAATTTTAAGATCCTCATTTATTACTATTACTTGAAGAGCTTCTTTGTTTTTTAATAAACTTTTAAAGGAGATCACCACTCCACTGCAATATGTTTTATTACAGAGCTTCAGTATCACTTTTTTATTCTGTGCATTTTTTCTTCTTCTTGCTTCTTCCTATAGACTGCAGTGACAACATGAATAGCTTTTATATATTTGATAACTTCTTTAGCTCTTCTATAAAGCCTTTGAAGGGTATTCAGTTCAAATTCAGTTCAAGTCACTAAAAAGTAAGTTTAGTCCATGAGATGCACATCCTGTTGCAGTAATATGTGGATACTTGTTCATTATGATTTTCCATGCAGCTTTCATATTACTTGTATTGTCAATCAGCAAAGCAAATACTTCACCACTCTCAATTTTCTCTAAAACTGCATATATTTCATTGTTGATATACTCTGCAATATGTCTGCTCCCTCTAGTTTCAATGCTTCTATAAAGCATTTATATTGACTGTTTCGCTATGACTATCATTAAGTGTTGTACCTTACAATTCTTGACGAATGTATCTTTTCTTTTATGTATTCAGAGAGCATATGCACCAAGACAAATTCCTTGTGTGTCCAATCACACTTGGCCAATCAATTATTCTATTCTATTCTATTCTATTCTATTCTATTCTAGTCTAGTCTAGTCTAGTCTAGTCTAGTCTAGTCTAGTCTAGTCTAGTCTAGTCTATTCTATTCTATTCTATAAGACTAGTTGAGGTGTTGTTATCACAAAGTTGATGATTCCTTCCCCATCCATCTGCATGACATACTGTTTCATTGATTTTTCTTTGTACAGATTCCATCATATATTCATATTCTGACTCCAAAAGAAGCTTGCTCATGAAACATCTGCTTGGCAAATGATATGATAGTTGTAATAATTTAAAAGTTCCCTGACAATATGCATTTTAAGTTTATTGACAATGCTGATCCAGAAGCACACTCTCTTGCAAGAGAATGATCAATTTTCTCTTGATTTTCAGGTGTCATTTTATCTACAAAAGAAGATATTGTGTATTTTTGTGAAGCAGTGGTTTGCAACACTTCCTTACTTGAAAATGCTGCTGGTGAAGAAACACTTGGTAATGTTCTAGAAGCAACTGAAGAACATATTCCACACTCCTTTTTTTAAATTTTTTTGCAAAAAAACAAAAAACAAAAAAACAAACCCAAAAACCATTTGGAAAAAAATGGAAAAAAACCCTGTTTTTCCCCCTATTTTTCCAGGTTTTTTTTTCCAAGCCTTCCCATCTCTAATTCCACAATTTCTTCAATAATAGTGTAACTCTTGTTCTGTGGTAAGTTGTACTGAAGTGAGTTGGTCATAGCAACTTGTCCCTCAGTGAGTTGACTGCAGCGGGTTGGCAAGTTGGTAGTGGCAAATTGGATGTGGTAAGTTGGCCATGTTAACTTGTCCTAGACCTTATTTTCCTTCCCATAGAAGCAAGTATATGCTTTCAAGTACTTGGTAAATACTTTATTTGGAAAGAAGGGTGTTTGAAATGATTTGTAATAGTTTTAATAAATAAATGTTTAATAGAATAGAGTAGAGTAGAGTAGAGTAGAGTAGAGTAGAGTAGAGTAGAGTAGAGTAGAGTAGAGTAGAATTCTTTATTGGCCAAGTATGATTGGACATACAAGGAACTTATCTTTGGTGCATATGCTCTCAGTGTACATAAAAAGAAAAAAAATCATTAATCAAGAATCATAAGATACAGCTGTTCAGTCGAAATCTATAAACCCTATAGTGTAAGATTTATTCCTGTATTTTAGATCTAATTTGGCAGTGCTTCACTTTCTGTGAAAGTTAGAAGAGACAATACTCTTGAAGGACAATCTTGCAACACTCAATGACCAAAAGCCTGTTCTTTTTTAATTTGCACAGCATGCATGCAAAAAGGGCCGGGGCTTCAATAATATCGCAGTAGTGCAGTGATTAGAGTGCAGGCTACCTCTGCTGACTGCTGACTGCCTGCAATTTGACAGATTGAATCTTACCAGGCTCAAGGTTGACTCAGCCTTCCATGGTTGGTAAACAAGGACCCAGATTGTTGGGGGCAATATACTGACTCTGTAAACTCCTTAGAGAGGGCTGTAAAGCACTATGAAGTGGTATATAAGTCTAAGTACTATTGCTATTGTTATCTCATTATGCCACTTTTAGGAAACCAGTGGTGCTTGTAGTACATGCCATCCTGTAGCATACCTGCACCATAGTACATGTTATGATGGACTAACCATGGGGGGAAGAATTCTGTTTTTATCCTTGTTTTTATGTATCCTTGTGACAATCATTATATACACAATAGGCAGTTGTTTAAGTCCTCTAAATAAATAAATAAATACATTTAAGATACAAAAAAATTGAAGTTGGATCTTGATCATTTTTAATAAAAGTATTATTTGTTCTGCTGCTTACAGAATTAGCATTAAAGGAAGAATTACATACATAATCTTGGAAAATGAATGGACAATTCTCCAATCCTGTTAGATAATTCCTTAAACTGGGGTCTCTATGATTTGTTTGAACTTCTTTTTTCCAAATTGACTAATTAAAGGACTGATATTTTACCAAATAAGACTGAAAGATTCATATACCTTTTGTTTTTCCATGTTTTGAAATACTCTCTTTTCTCATGTATTGTATGGATTCATCAGGTTGACTTGCTTTCACATCTTGATGTTCTTAGCTCAGTCATAGATAATGTTGCTGTACTGATATGGTGGGCAAGTAGTGAAAGTGGACATATGTAAAAGCAAAGATTCCCCAGGAAGCTCATCAATGAGAGAATAGTTATAAACATATCATCACATTCAGAGGGCTATATAACAGTCAAGAGTTATGACTTTTCCTTATGCTGCAATTTAGTGTTCAAATATTTTTTTCTACTCCTGACCTACTAGTCCTGATTTGAGGATGTTTATTTAAAGAATTTAGAGAGCCAATTGGTGATAGTGATTAAGGCATCAGGCTAGAAACTGGGAAACTGGGAGTTCTAGTCCCACCTTAAGAACAAAACTAGTTTGGTACCATTGGGCCAGTCATTCTCAGTCCTCCAACGAGACTACGGCAAGTCATCTCTGAAAAATCTTGCCAAGAAAATTGCACCAACTTGTCCAGGCAGTCAATTAAGTTACTTTCATCTCATAGGCTTTGTTTCTTGCTTCATTCCAATCTAAGGCTTCTTATAGAAAGTTTGGTGGTTGCTCATCAATTCCATGCATTCCTCTCTCTGACATTAGAACTACGACATCCATGAGAAAGAGAAACTCTATCTATTGCAACAAGTCCCTATGTGTATTGAGATTTCCAACTCAATTCCTATAAAAATATGGTTCAATATATAAAAAGTTCCAGCAAACTTAACATTTATAGAAGTTCACTTACTAACTTTAATTTGTTCTTGCAATCAGAGAAGTTTCAAAGGAATTAGAATATTTCCCGATAACATTTTAAGACAAATATATTTTTTTAAAAAAAAATTCATAGAGCTTTTAAAGGAGTGCATGAGTTTTTATAAGAGAAAATTTTGTTTTTATTCCCCACCTGCTTCCCAATACTACTTTACTAGTTTTTATATATTCTCATTTAATCAGATGAAGAGAATTTGCTTCAAAAACTTTCAAATGAGAAGAGTGAAGATAAAATGAGATATATACAGGTACTTATTGAATATACATGTACTTATTGAAAAGAGCCTTAAGTGTTTACTATAAGTGATATAGTATTTATATAATCTACCCAAATATCTTCAACTTCCCTGGTTTTTCATGCTTCAATTAAGAAGAATTTTGCCATTAAAAAGCAATTGGAAAATGTTCTCTTCTCCTGAAGAGATTCAAAGTAATCTTCCACCCATTTTTTTTTTTTTACAATTTTGTTAGAAAATTTGTGTTTAGTTCTATTTCCTATAATATAATGATGACATGTGGGTTTGTGTGTGTGTTTATTATTCATTTAAGCTCTTTATATAGTTCAACATTATTGTCTACTTCCATAGTCCATATAGATACTGGATTCTTCTGTAAAATCCATTTGTGCCCCTTTTCTTGCTTACATTTTCTTCCTCTCATCTATTAAAAATGCCATGGACAGCCAAGAAAACCAATGGAACATCAAATGAATCAATTCAGAAGTCTCACTTAAGGCACAAATAACCACACTCAAATTATCCCAGGTGGATGTACTTTTGGAAAGAAAGAAGATTATTAGCAAAGTGGATGGATTCAGTTATAGTTTTAATTAAGTACACAATTTGAAGAACTAGACATACCTAATTCCCATACCAAATAATCATACCCAATGCCCAAAAAGGAATTCAGTTGCAGGTTGATGTAGTTGAGCTTGGAACAATTATTTGGGATGTCTGAGGATTCCCCCCCACCCCTTGTAAAGGGTGTTGAAGTGGAAGACCTCCAAGCTCATTTCCAACCCTATAAATCTATTATTCTATTTTCTAACATATTGTGAAGCATTTTTTTCAAAACAGATTTAAGTACATTTATTGGATAGCTAGAGATATTGTATACAGAAATGTAGATATAAACCTACATAGAGATAAGGATATAATATCTGCACAAAGAAAATATAAACTCTCTTTATCTCTATTCAAGCACTCTAATCAATGAGATCTGCCTTGCTTTTCAAAGAGAATTAATGGAGGCTACATTTTCCATCTTACAAAGCATGGAGGAACTTAAACTAAAGTTTCCTGCAGCTAAAACAGCTAAAACACCAAAGTGAAATAACATACTTTTGAACTAATAACATAAAGTACTAGTACATCTTATGGATTTTCCAGTGGAGTGAATGCATAGAATTGAATTACCCAATGGAAGTTTTAGGCAGCCCAAATAAACATGCTATTTACTTTCATTGTGCCATCTGTTTGTGAAATTGGTTTTTCTTTCTAAAAATAATACTTTAATATTAGAAAACCATTTGGAAATGAACAATAATGATAGATTCCTTGATGTAATGTCACACTTAAACATTTTCCACAAGGCAACTTTGATTTCTCTGTTCCTCATTGTATAAATAATTGGATTCATCAAAGGAGGAACAACAGAATATAATACAGTGATTACTGTGTCCATATTTGAAGGAAAGTCTGAAGTAGGCTTTAGATAGGCAACACTTCCAGTGCTGATAAACAAGGAGACAACAATGAGATGGGGAATGCAAGTTGAGAAAGCTTTGCTCTGTCCTTGAGAAGTAGGAATTCTAAACACAGATTTGAAAATCTGCACATATGAAACAATTATGAAACTGAAACAACCAAAGACGATGAATGCACTGAATAGAATAACTCCAACTTCAATCAGGTATGAATTATCACATGATACCTTCAGAAGCTGTGGGATTTCACAGAAGAACTGATTCACAACATTGGAACAAAAGGTGACTGCAAAAGTGCTACAAGTATGCAAGGCTGAATAAAGAAAACCAATTATCCATGCAATGGCTGCCAGCTGAAGGCAAGCTTTCCTGTCCATTATGCTTTCGTAATGCAGTGGGTCACAGATAGCAATGTATCTATCATATGCCATGCCTGTGAGAAGGAACAAATCTGAGATCAGGAAGAAGAATAAAGAAAATACTTGTGTGATGCACCCGTAGTATGAGATCTCTCTGCTGTTCAAGAATGCATTTATCATGGCTTTCGGAATAGTGACAGAAATAGAGCCAAGATCAACAACTGATAAATTCACTAAGAAAAAGTACATGGGTTTATGAAGTTGTTGGTGGAAAGACACTGCTAAAATGATGAGGGCATTTGCTATCAAAGCTGCTATATAGATCACTAAAAAGAGAGTGAAATATAGCATATTTTGCTCAAATTGGTCAGAAAAACCCAGGAGAAGAAAAGTAGAGAACTCACTTACATTAGGCATTTTTCTTGAGAATGATTCCTGTATTCCTGTGCAAAAAGTAAAAATAATTTCAACGGATCAGATAGTAATTATGAATAACAATAAAATTAATGGGTGTTGCAATATACATATAAAATACAACTGAAATATAGTTGTATCTTCCTTTTCTCCTACTTAAGATACAAAAAGATTTTAGGAATTAAGGATATGGACATGGGTATTCCATAAAGTCACAATGAATCAAGCTCAATCTGGATAATATATTGCTTTAACCGTTGGAATATTTTCAATTGTTTCATCAATTAACTTCTTCTCCCATGAGATCAAAGCACCCTCTTTAATTTAGTAGAAATTAACATTTCCTGAATAATTTGGGCACAAAGTTAATACACAAACATTTTCATTGTGCTATACCATGGATTATGCTTCCAAAATAAATATGTGAGAGATTGTTCAGAGAGAATAATTATGTGAAATAACAATAGCACTTAGACTTATATACCACTTCACAGTGCTTTATAGCCCTCTCTAAGTGGTTTATAGAGTCATCACATTGCCTCCAACAATCTGGGTCTACATTTTACCAACCTTGGAAGGATGGAAGCTTGAGTCAACCTTGAGCTGTTCAGAATCGAACTCCTGGAGTGAGCAATGAATTAGCCTGCAGTACTGCATTCTAACCACTGTGCCACTATGGCTTTTATAGAATATAGAGAAGAAATTACTTCAATTCCACATTTTAGATTAGCTGCATGGTGCCTTCAATAATGGAAGACTTATGCTTTCTGAATATGATTTGAGTGATATCAGAATCATTATGTGTCCTTTGAAACTGCAGTTTATACATCTTTCTAAAAATACCACAGGGCCCAGGATCAATTAATCAGTTCCCGAGAGTATTCAGTAGCATTAGGAGTCTGAAATATATTTCAAACAAAAATATGAAGTGCAAGAATATGCCTACAGATGTCCTGTGCTTTTAAAGCTTTGGGAAATAATATGTGTGGCTTCCTTTGAAAAGTATATGTCTTTAAATACAGGATGACCACCACAGGAAAAGAGGAATGTACAAAATGATGATTTTTGACTTTGAAATGGCAAGCCAATCTGAGTGATCAAAACTCTGCTTCTTTTTAACAAACATTACATTCACATAGAAAGGAGTGGAACTTCAATCACTGGTCATGCCTGACATATTTCAAACTAAGTATATCATCAACAGACATAAGACAGACATAACATAGATAGATAGGAATATATTTAAAATCCATGATATGCCATCTTTGATAATGATAATTAGATATTTATTTGAGAGGTTCCTAGATGGAGAGAAATCCTAAAAAATTGATATGAAATATATTGAACAATTCTCTATATAAATTAAAGAGGGAATTCGGTGTTCCTTAATATTTTTTGAAAATATTTTATTGAAAAATTTTATTACAATAGTAAAAGCAAATAAAAATATTTTCAGAAGTGACATCTGCTCTTTATAACAACAAATATGAACAAATTTATCACTCTTCACCCCATAACAAATATCTGTTCTTCCATTATCCCATCCTCTTTCTTCCTTTGTCATTCTCTCTCTCTTTTCATACAGGAGCCACCTTGTAAGAAATGCTGTCTAAGCGGTTTACAGAGTCAGCATACTGCCCCCAACAATCTGGGTCCTCGTTTTATCAACCTCAGAAGGATGGAAGGCTGAGTCAACCTTGAGCTGGTGAGATTTGAACTGCCAAAGTGAAGCTAGCAGGCAGCTGAAGTAGCCTGCAGTGCTGCACTCTAACCACTGTGCCACCTCGACCAGGGGTGAAATGTAAAATTTGTTACTACCGGTTCTGTGGGCATGGCTTGGTGGGGGGAGTTATATGACTGGGTGGGTGTGGCCAACTTTTTTTTTTATTTTAACTTTTCAAAGCATTTTTTCTGCAAATGCAAAAAAAATGCTTTGAAAAGCCTCTGCCAATCAGGAACACAGCTGGGATCAGAGAGCCTTTTCAAAGCTGGGATCAGAGAGCCTTTTCAAAGCATTTTTTTAATAACCTCTTCCACTGAAGAGGATGCAGAAAAAAATTGCTTTAAAAGTCTCTCTGATGATCCCAGCTGAGTTGCCTGATCATTTTAAAAAATGCTTTGAAAAGTTTCTCTGACAGTCAGGCAACTGAGCTGGGATCGTCAGAGAGACTTTTAAAGCATTTTTTCCTGCAACCTCTTCAGCGGAAGAGGAGGTTGAAAAGCTCTGACGATCCCAGCTGTGTTGCCTGATCGTCAGAGCCTTTTCAAAGCATTTTTTAACCACCTCTTCCCCAGAAGAGGTTGCAGAAAAAAATGCTTTGAAAAGCCTCTGAGATCCCAGCTGAACCGTGTGATCATCAGAAGCTTTTTTTTTTAATCTTTTAAAAGCATTTTTTTGGTGGAAGAAGTTGTAGAAAAAGTGCTTTTAAAAGTAAAAAAAAAAAGCCTCTGATGATCGTACAGCATAGCTGGGCATGATGGGGGTGGGCAGGGATTTTTGCTACTGGTTCTCCAAACCACCCACCACTATCACTACCGGATCGGGTGATCCGGTCCGAACCGGGAGCATTTCACCCCTGACCTCGTCTCTTGTATAATATAAGGTAATTCAGCTACAGGTTAAGATGTTAAACTTCTTTAATGGCTGAAGGGGATCTCAAAATCTTCTATTATCCTCAACTAATTAAAAGTTTCCATTTTTTTCATTGTTTCTACTTTTCCCTCTTGCTGTTTAACTGTAGGAAAAATAAGAAATCTAAATTGTGTATCTCTAAATGTACTCAGCCGGTGTAATTGCTTGCATCTGATTCTAAAAATTGCTTCAGAGAATGAACAAGAGAATGAACACAATATCGTCTGAAACTTCTTGAAACAGTTGTGACATTCTTCAGATGCAGGTGAAGATTGTAGAGGACAGATATGCAAGCCCAGAAAAAGATACAACTGTTTTTAAACAGAAGAAGATAAATATAATGGTTGATTGGGATGGTCTGAGGTTTCCTCCTCTATGCAGGGCATTGAGCTGGAACACATCCAATGTCATTTCCAATTCTACAAACCTTTGATTATGTTTTTTTCTTAATATATTTTTTTCAAAATACATTCATGTATACTTACAAAAGAGGGTGAGAACCAGTTTGAAAGGGTTTTGACTCATTCCTTTTTGCCACACAAAAATATGAACAGGAGATTGATGGATTAGAAAGCAATATCCACATAAATTGGGTAAATGTTGAGTTTATTAAGCAAAGGAGAACAATGCATAATGATAAGAATTATCCACAAATGATGCAGGAAAAAAAGACAGCAATATTCAATAGAGGAGTATAAACATACAAGAAAATTTCATATCCCTTTAGCTGAAAGCCCCTCAGCCTCATCAAAGGAAGATTCTGATGTTGCCTAGGTAATTCCATTAATCATATGACATCTTTCTGAAGTACACTTATTCTAAGCAGAAAATAATATAGATAACCACAAATCTAAATATGGTGTTTGATATGCCTTATCAGTACCTTTGATGAAATTCAAACATTCTCAAGCACATTTCATCCTAATATACATCTATTTACACTTGTTCGTTCAGGTGTTGGACCAGGGAGCATATCTCAGCTCTTCCAATTTGTATGAAGTTGTGAGATTTCTGAAAACTTATATGATATTTTATTGGAATTATGCATCATCCTAATTATACTTCTTGCCTTTGCAATTTCTTGTGATTATCAAATCACAATTATCTGAGGTAGTGCCAGATTATCCATCCTGCCCACATTGCCAGGTATCTAATATTTCCAAATAACTTCTAAGGAAAAGAGATAGTACTCCTGAGATAAAGTATGTAAAAACCAGTTTGATGTGATGCTTAAAGCTTCAGGCTAGGAACAGGGAACCTGTGAGTTCTAATCCACCCTATGCAATGGCAAACCCCTTTGAAAATAGCTTGCCAAGAGAAATGCATGGACTTGTGCAAGAAGACACCAGGAGTTAAGACTGACTCAAAGGTGCAAAATATCAAAATGTACGTGCAAATGACCATTTAAGGATAGGAGAATGTAGAGTCCTGTGTACTTCTGGAAAAACTAAAGCTTTAACTAGTTATGTTATGTGCAAGCATTAAAGGGGAAGCCAATTTACTTAGGAAAGCACTGGGAAAAATAGAGCATATCATTTAAACTTTCCTTCTGTTGCAGTTTTTTTTTTCATAACATTGCACCTTGATCTTTACTTCATTAAATCAGGATTTGTGAGTTTGTGCATGCCAGAGATTGCCAGACATCTACATTTAACATCTATAAAGTGCATTAATAATAATTACAGATGCAGGATTTTTGATGAGCAACTACTGGAATTCAATTCTTCTAGATGAAGAGGTTGAATCTGCCTCCATAGAAGCTATGTCTCCCTTTCCAATTTACTGCTTTAGTCAAAGAAGTGACTAATGACAGGAAAATATAATTTTCTGTTGAATAGACTATAAATAGCACTTAAAGAATTTTTTAGAACCTCAAGAGTTTAGAAAGGACAAATTTGATATTCTTATTCCTCATGCTATAGATGATTGGGTTGAACAGGGGTGGAAGAAGGGAATATAGAACAGTCAACCCAAAATCTAAGTACGATGGAGTGTTAGTGGGAGGCTTCAAATAAGCAAAAAATCCAGTTAATAAAAACATAAACACTACTATAAGATGAGGAATACAGGTTGATAAGGCTTTTTGCCTCCCTTGTTCAGAAGGAATTTTTAGCACTGCCTTGAAAATCATGGCATAAGATATGATAATAAAAATAAAACAACCTATTCCTACAATGACACTTACCACAATAACTCCAATCTCAATTAGATTGAAACTAGAGCAGGATAGTTTTAACAATTGTGGAATTTCACAGAAAAATTGGTTGACAACATTAGAACAAAAAAGGATTGAAAAAGTGCCAGTAGTATGCAATGTTCCATAGAGAAGACTTATAATCCACACTAAAATTATTATTTCAATGCAGGTTTTCCAATTCATCACCATCTCATAGTGCAGTGGATTGCAAATGGCAACATACCGATCATATGCCATGACTGTCAGGAGGGATAAATCAGAAGCTGCGAATGAGACAAAGAGAAAGACTTGAACTACACATCCTAAGTAAGAGATGTGTCTGGTGTCCATGAGGGAATTCACTATGGATTTCGGAACAATAATAGAAACTGAGCCCAGATCCTGCATAGCCAAATTCATCAGAAACCAGTACATGGGGTTATGCAGTCTATTATCTATAGCTACTGCAGTGATGATGAGAAGATTTGCTGTTATAGTTGACAAATATAACACAAAGAATAAAAAGAAATGTAAAATCTGCAAATGCCGATTTTTTGAGAATTCCAGGAGCAAAAAGTAAGGCACTGTGGTTGTATTATCCATTAGTTTATGACTTAATTTAATTTAACTCAATTTAATTTATAAACAGAGGTTGGGGATGTAGCTAGTTAAAAACAGTGAGCATATATAACTTGATACAGTCTGAGACCAGAATGGAAAAATAGTGGGAAAACATTGAAAGAATGAAAACACAGTACCGAAAATGGATGCAATACATTTTGTGTCTAATTACAGCACTATTTATATATTTCAAATTATCCTTGACTAAACACCATACCATAAATCACAATGTTGTTCTTCTTTTTTTTCATTTCTTTTCCTGGTTGTATATATTAAAATGTTTGCCTAGGACTTGAAAGATCTTTTCAAGTCATTTTAACTGGAAGTTCCCTGGAGTTGTTGGACCAGTAAGTGTCTCTTATCACTCTTAAAGAATTGTTACAATAATGGAAAACAGAACTGAAGACAGAAATCCAATATAGAGAGAGCACCTTAAGGAAAGGCTGGATGCAAACCTAGTAGGGAAACAATAGAATTAGTTGTTATGTCTTTTACTTTGAAAAAATTGAAGAAATGGACTTTCAATTGGCTGAATTTGTATAGCACACATAATGAAAACAATTGACACACACACATACACATATACAGAGGGAGAGAGGGAAAAAGAGAGGGGGAAGGAAAGGGAGAGGGAGAGGGAGGGTGGGAGGGAGAGAGAGGGGAGGAAGAGAGAGAGGGGGGAGAGGGAGAGGGAGAGAGAGAGATTTTAATGGTCAGTCTGGGAATGTTGTCATTGACAAAAATATCTTAATGATTCAAACCAGTGTTTTCAACTGGGGTATTCTAGGAGTTCAAATCCACCTACTTTAACATTGCCAGGGTTGAGAACCAGTTATATCTATATGATAATACCGCTAAACACATTAATGGTGCATTATAATTTTACAAGACAAAACATTATAATTCACACTGGCATTGACCAGGTGGTCCTTAAAATTACAGTACATGAGGAGGAAAGCATATTCATCTTAAGAGAAATGACAGCTAAAGAGGACATATTCATATTCTAATCAAAATTCTCCAGTTAACATTTCCTTATCTTAAACCTTTGCAAAGGTTTCAAAAGTAAGATCAGTTTGATATGGGAACCAATTGCCAACAATGGAGCTGATTTATCTTCACGGAATGTTTTCAAGCAGTGACCATCTGTCAAATATACTCTACTTTGGGTTCTCCATTGGATTTAATATCCTAAATAAATTCTTCCAAATCTATGATACCATACTATAGTTCTGTGAATCTTGGTTGCCAAAATTCATATTTTTCTTATACTGAATTACTTTTAGTTTATTTTTCATTGTTTTCTAGTTTTAATGAAAGTTGGACAATAACCGATTTTGATCTATATGTTAGCTAAACTACTACCACCTTTAAACTTTCCAAATTAATAAGGAATTTTTTATTATTTTTATTATTTTATTTATTTATTATTATTAATAATAATAATGCATATTTTCTAAATATGAAATGAAATAAGGTAATATCTTATCAATATAAGATCAGCATCTTTTCAATAGTACAGTGTTAACCAATATTACAACATTTATACACTTTTAATCCAAAATGTACAAATGAAACTAAAAATGACTTTGATTATGCTAATTTGCTTACTAGTGATCAATTTCACTCTGAGTTCACAACTGAGTTCACTAAATCCATTTTATTTCAATGTTGAAAATAGGTTTCTAAATTTCTGCAAACTATCTCTGTCATTAATCATTAGTATCAGCATGTTTGAAAAATATTTTCTTGCCTAATACATACTCCATTTATTATTTAGGATACAATAACCGGACTTTTTTTTTATATTCATAATACTTTTAATTTAACTTTTAGGTCTAAAACGACTAAATGACTAAAAATAGATCTCTCCTTTTTGTCTTCATTCATATAACTTATTCTGTGATAAAAGAATAGTAAGTTATACAGATCATTTCTCAGTGTAGAAATTATAGTACCTAAGCTACGTACAATAATTTAATGTAGATTTAAATAAATGCCAATAAATCTCAGTAAGACAGGAATTGCTTTTTCTGTAAAATGGCAAATATACTTTCCATGCTATACTTACTAGTTTTCTTCATAGAATTCTTGTGCCTTTTGATATATTCTTTTTAGATTGTTAAACATTGGTTCTTCAATAGATGCAATCAGACTATTGCTCAGATCTATCTTCAGGGGAAAAGATTGATTTTATATTCAGCAATCTTATTAATCTTTTTTTGTTTCCCTCAAGAGGCAATTAAATAAAATATGCAATCAAACTAGATAATTTTTTTAAAAAAAATCAACCTGAGTTCTTATGGATGTAGTTAGGCCTTTAACAGCTGCTGTATTTGAGAATATTTTAATATCAGTTAACCCACTGATTATCTAATCATCTTCATTTTACCAATAGTTCACCAAACCTCACTTTCCAATGGAGAATTCAAACCTAGATTAAATCAGAAAACCTGCCAGAAATATAACCTGGAAGAGTTTCATTCATTTGGAATTTTATTTTTGCTTTAGCTTTCTAAAGTATTGATTGTTGAAAGTAAGTTAAAAGTGCAAAAAGTAAAGAAGGAAGAAAAATAATTATTTCAAATTTTCTTTGGTACATGTATCAAACATTCTAAAATTAACAATAGTTTACATTATTTCTATAATCCCCAAATAATTAGGAATTCGAGATAGAAATAATTAGAGATTGGACTGCTATTTTTCAGAATTGGTGTAGAGTCTCCTGCTTGAGTGGGAGGAGGGGGTTTGGACTACATGACCTATAAAGTCCCTTCCAACTCTCTTAATCAGTTAATTTAATCAGTTAATTATCAAACCCAAAAACCAAAATTTCATAATTTTTTTTTCAGTTTTTTGGAAATTGACATCATATTCAATTGGACAACAATTTCAGTTGGATGTTTCTGAGAAGATAAATTGATTTTGGAGAATGGATTTACCATATTCAACCAGATTGATAGGAGATATTATTAAGAAGCAAATGAAGATATTTGATCTGGGATGAATCAGAGTTAATTTGGGATAGATAAGAAGCTGTGGTGAATTGGTAACAGATGGTTTTGAAACTTGAATTTTGTTTTATCTGTTAACCATTCTGTTATTAATATAATAAATTAATATAATATTAATATAAATTATTAAGATAATAAGTTGCAAATAGAGTTAGAAGTTAAGAAATGCTGCAGCTGCTTTGCAAGGGGAGGGGGAACTAATATTGTTATAATATATTTATCAGTATTCAACTGGGGAGAATAATGTATGTATATGTGTTTGTGTTTTTTAATGAACATTTTTAATGTTCTGTTTATTTTTTCTTTCTGTTTTTGTAAAAAAAATTCCTTTTTTTTCTTTTTTGAATTTTTGAATAAAAATAAAAATGTTGCATGGGAAACTGCACTCAGAAGTGGGACTTCTGTGGAACAAATGAAAAACTGACAAAATGAAAAGTCGGCATGTAACCCTATACTCTATAATTCCTCTTTGGACAAGAAGTGGGGTTGAGATCATCCTGGCAGTTGTTCATCATGAATAATTTTTATTGTCATAAATCGTAATATTTAATAAAAGTACTATAAAAGACAAACTGCTCCTCAAAAGACCTTTTGCATTATAAAGTTCTTCAAGCACCTTAGATGGGACAGAATTTATAATATGTAATATTTTCTAATTGATTTGAATGTGGAGCCTTAATATTGGTGGGTAAGATATCAAGTAAAGTGAATATAAAAGAAAATGCCAAATGATTAGAATTAATAAAATTTTGTAAATAAATTCTAATATTTATATAATTGGATTGATCCTAACTCAGTCATCCATGGTAAACTCTAATAGAAGCAAGGAAGGAATTCCATAGAATTGACTTACAAAATGAGCTTTTATGGGGCAGATCTTGTATTCCTTTTCTCCCTCCCTGTCTCTTGGAATGATCATGCATGATATAGAGAAAAAGAAAGAAATTACCTTTCAATGCCATACCTTAATTTATAACCATAATGATTTCAATAAGACACTAGAAAGTTCATGTTTCTAAGTATGAGCTAGATTACACATAATAATTATGTATTTCACTGAAACTGCACTTTATAGATCTGTCTGCATACACCACAAGCCAAGCATTCTTGAACAAATTCCCAACAGTAGTCAGTAGCATTAGTACTCTGAAATAATCTCTAATAATAATAAAAAAAAAGCACTGCCAGATGACTTCTGTTTTTATAACTCTGACAGACAATATATTGGGCTTCCCTTGAAATGTCTATGTCCTTACATACAAGATGACCTGTTTCTAAGAAAAGGAGCATCTTAAATTATAACCTTTGGCTTTGAAATGGCAAGTCATACTGGGTGATCAAACACTTGCTCCTTTTAAATAGATAATTTATTCAGATAAAAATATGGTGGAGCTTCATTTCTGTTCATGTCTATTATGTTTCAAACTATATTATCCCCACATAAAATAGATATACAGATACATAGACAGTTATTTATTCAAAACAAATGTTACAATACATGTATTGCAGTCTTATTTCTGATGACCATTAGATACTTATTCAATAGGTTCTTAGTTAGGAGCAAATCCCTAAAATATTAATGTGAAAATATTCTATCCTAATAGCTTATGATTGATACAATTTGGTCATTTATTGTATTGCAACCAATTACTGCTTTTGCTATATCCTTTACTAAAACAAATTAGATATACCGTCTTTGTTTTCTCAAAAAAGGGAAGAAAAGGCAAAGTGATGAACAAAGACTATGGCAAAATGAAGAGCTGGCAAGTAGATCTGCTTTTTATAATTCCTTTCTGGACAAGGAGTGAACTGAAGATCATACACTTGCTCTTTGTGAGCAAATGTTATTCTTGTAAATTATAATATTTAAGACTAGTACTATTTTAAAAAAAGAAATGCACTCAAAAGAGCTTTTGCATTAACACATTTCTCAAACATCTTAAATGGAACATAATTTATGATATTAAATTATGTCCTCTATCTAATTTGAATGGGAAGCCTGAATATTGGTGGGTAAGATATCAAATAAAGTTAACATTAAAGAAGAGACCAAGGTAATTACAATTAATAACACTTGATAAATCAATCCCTAATACATTGAGAAGATGTTAGTCAAGTTGGCTATAGTAAATCCCAATAGCGATGAGAAAGGAATTCTCATAGAATTGAGAATTCACAAAATGAATTTTTATATTCTCCTTTTCCTTTCTCTACCCATTGGAAAACTCATCCTGATCAGAGGTAAATTAATCAACAGGAAGATGAACAATTTTCATCTTTAGACTCTGTAATTATACCACAGGGGAAAAAAGAATGCTGTCAAACAATAGAGAAATACATAAATTAAAGCATCATTGTTTTACATTGCTCTGCTGGAAATGTACATTAGATTAATTTCCTTAACAAAACAGAACTCCAGAAATTAATCTCAGGGTCATCTATCATGCTCAAGAATGCAGAAGATTCCATTTTTTCCCCACTGATTCCATTTCTCTCTCTTGCTTCTTGTTGTGCTTGAAGATGCTTTCTTCAGAGTTCTTGGCTTACCATTTGACCAAGTACATACAAACTCTTTCTCAAATCATACCAATTTCATAAGAGTTGAAGCTGTGGTACATCCAAGATCAGTTCTGATATGAATATTAAGGGAACTAGCTAAAGAAAGGAATGCAGGAGTGATCTAAGGAATTGGTGACACTGGTTCCAAATGAGCTTAGAAAACTATAATACACATTTTAATGTAAAAGCTGGAGCCATTAAGGGCAGCTATGAGCAATTTCTGCTATGTTCTATTAAACCATTTTTCATGCTATAAAATCCATTACAGCCTTCAGCTGCTTCTCCAGCTTTGTATCAGATTCTAAGGTATTACTGGGGGTCATCAAGATCCTGACATCACACTTCAACCAATGGGTGACATTGATACTACTGTAGTTTCACTTAGCTGTCAAGTTCATGGGGGGAAAAGAAATAAGCCCTATGACAGCCTACACTGGAGCAAGCATGGCTTCAAATACTGTTTTCCCTTGACTACTCTCCTAAAAAGGTGTTCTTAAGATTTAATTCCTGCAAATGCTCCACAGGAGAGTTGACAGCATCAAATGCAGGTAATCTCTCAAATGAAATGAATATAAAGGAAAGTGGAAGGTTTGTAATTTCATGCTTGGCAAAAACATATTCTGAAAAACAGGGCAGAAACAGGTTTAAATAGGCTTTTTATTTTGAAAATGGTTAAAACAGATAATTTTATTCTGATTTGCATCATTTCCTGCCATACAAACCTTTCTATTGAAACTGCACATTCTGGTTTATCACTTTCCCAAATGATTACATGTCTGTAAACATTTGTACCTTTTATATTTTTCTACTCATTCTTTAAGTTGATTCTGAATTACCAAACCTCCAGAAATATATTAGTCAAAACAACATTGTTTTATATTATACCACAAGAAATGTGCATTAGATCAATATTTTATCAATATTTAGAAATCCTGAAATCCTATTACAGAGAGGCAGTTCATTTGCACTAGGCTGAAGGGAATCACAGGATCTATCATTCTCAACTATCCAAACTTTCCATTTATTTTTCATTGTTTCCAGTTTTATTTCTTGTTGCTTCTGTGTTAATGTTTGCAGGTGCCATCTTCAGAATACTTATAATAACACTGCACTAACTACATGTAATCACTTTCTCAAATCATACCTATTACATCAGAGTAGTGGATTTTAAGGAAAGGATTTTATGCTTGAAAGGAAGCATAAATTAAACAGATAGAGGTATGTACAAACATAGATATAGAATTTCATGAAGGTTAGGATATCATGCAAATAGAATGCAATCTGGTTAAGTATTGCATTTCAAGCACTGGAATCAGAATAGCAGAATAACACTGTTGGAAGGTGCCATGGAAGTCAATCAGATCAATCAGAATAGAGCTGGAAGGGATGTTGGAGGTCTTCTAGTCCAGCCCCCCCCCTCAAGCAGGAGATCCTATACCATTTCAGACAAGTGACTGTCCAGTTTCTTCTTAAAAACCTCAAGTGATGAAGCACCCACAACATCTGAAGGCAAGCTGTTCCACTGGTTAATTGTCCTCACAGGAAGTTCCTCCTTAATTCCAGATTGCTACTCTCCTTGATTAGTTCAATCCCATGCCCAATCAGGAGACCCTATACCATTTCAGACAAATGGCAGTCCAGTGTCTTCTTAAAAACCTCCAGTGATGGAGCGCTCACAACTTTTGAAGGCAAGCTGTTCCACTGGTTTTTCTCACGATTAGGAAGTTTCTCCTTGGTTCAAAATTGTTCCTCTCCTTGATTAGTTTGAAAATTCCCTTGTCTTTCAAGGAGAATCCATAAAGGCTACATATCCCAGCTTGCAAAGCATGGAGGAAAAAAATGAGCTATATCAAGCAGCCACATAATCTAATGGGAATTCTGCACATGAAGCTAAAAAAAACTAAAATTGTGAAATAAATGATATAATTTTGAACCAGTACCATAAATCACTTCTTCACATTATGAATTTTTCAGTTAAGTGAATGTACTAAATTACTTTACACTATGATTGATTCCTGGATGTAATAGTAGATTTCAACATACTACACAATCCAACTTGGATCTCCCTGTTCCTCATAGTATAAACAATGGGATTAATCAAAGAAGGAACTACAGAGTACAATACAGTGATTACAATTTCTACATTTGAAGGGGAGACAGAAGGAGGTTTTAGTAAATTAACACTTGCGGTGCTGACAAACAAAGAGACGACAATAAGATGTGGAATGCAAGTTGAAAAGGCCTTATTTTGTCTTTGAAAAGTAGCAATTTTAAAAACAGACTTGAAAATCTTAACATATGAAACAATTATGAAACTAAAGCAAGGACAGGCAATACCAACTATACTGAATAGAATAAATCCAACTTCAATGAGATATGAATCGTCACAGGATATTTTCAGAAGTTGTGAGACATCACAGAAGAAATCATTGAGAACATTGGAACAAAAGCTGATTGCAAAGGTACCACAAGTGTGCAATGTTGAATAAAGAAGAGCACTTATCCATGCCATGGCTGCCAGCTGAAGGCATGTCTTCCTGCCCATTATGGTTTCATAATGCAGTGGGTCACAGATAGCGACATATCTATCATATGCCATGCCTGTGAGAAGGAAGAAATCTGACATTCCAAAGAACAATAAGGAAAATACTTGTGTGATGCACCCAGAGTAAGAGATCTCTCTGCTGTTCAGGACAGCATTTATCATGGCTTTGGGCATAGTCACAGAAATAGAGCCAAGGTCAGTAACAGATAAATTAATTAAGAAAAAGTACATGGGAGTATGGAGTGAATGGTGGAGGGACACTACTAATATGATGAGAACATTTGCTATTAAGGATGTTATGTAGATCACTAAATACAAAATGAAGTATAGCATATTTTTATCTACTTGATCAGAAAAACCCAACAGAATAAAAGTAGAGATGTCACTTGCATTAAGCATTTTTTTTTCTTGAGTATATTTATTGCATTGCTGTGGAAAGCGTAAAAATAATTTCAACTGATCAAGTAGTAATTATGAACAGCACTAATATTAGTGAAAATTGCAGTAAAAAAATCTGAAAAATAGATGGATATTTCTTTTCTCATACCTAAGACATAAAACAAAAATATAGTTTAGAATTTTCAGATGTGTATAGGGCTTTTGTATGAAATTACCAGCAATCAATCTCAGTTTGGAGAATATATTGTATTACCATCTTAAAAGTATAACGATAGTTTCCATCAGTGGTTTAATCATAATTAAAGCAAATCTGTTGCAAAATACATTATAATGTACTGCAAAATTTCCCCTTCTTTCAATTAAGTAGGATTTAACGGCATGTTTTTTAAATGTGGGATCAATTTAAATACAAAAATGCTTCCATTACACTAGCTTTTATTCATATTTCAAAAAAAGAATTAATATCAGGAACGATAGGAGTGATGGCACAGAGAGAATTATTATTGAAAATACAGAGAAAAAGAGAGAAATTACCTTTCAAAGACATACCTCAGTTCATATCAATGATGACTTCAATAAAACACTAGAAAAATCAAGTTTTCTCAGTATGAGCTGGTTTATACAGAGAAATTGTGCATCTTAATGAAATTGTGCTTTATAAATCTGACTGCATATACCACAGAGACAAGTATTGTTGATTAAATTCCCAAGAGTAATCAGTAGCATCAGTACTATGAAATTGATCTCTTAATTAAAAATGAACTGCCAGAAGACTTGTATTTTTATAACTCTAATAAACAATATATTCAGCTTCCTTTGAAAAGTATATGTCCTTGCATGCAAGTTGACCCCTTTCTAAGAAAAGGAGCATCTGAAGTGATAACCTTTGGCTTTGAAATGGCAGGTCAGACTGGGTGATCAAACCCCTTCCTCATTTAAGCAGACAATTTATTCAGATAAAAACATGGTGAAGCTTTATCCTTATTCATGTCTATTATTCTTCAAGTTATAATATCCTCAAGCAAAAGACAGGGTACAGATGCACAAATAATCATTTATTCAAAACAAATGGTACAATGTGTGTATGTGTGTGTGTGTGTGTGTATATATATATATTGCAGTCTTAATTCTGATGATCATTATATAGTTATTGGATAAGTTCTTGGTTGGGAGAAAACCCCTAAAATATTAATGTGAAAAATATTGAACAACTTCTATTTTAATAACTTAATAACTTCTTATTGATACTATTTGGTCATTTATTGTATTGTAGCCATTTACTCTTTTTGTTATACCCTTTTTAACTAAAAACAAAAAAGCAAAACCTCCTTCTTTCTTGTCTTTTCCAGGGAAGAAAAGGCAAAGTAATGGAGGCAAAGATTTGGGCAAAATGAAGAGTTGGCAAGCAGATCTACTATTCATAATTCCTCTCTGGACAAGGCTTATGATCATCCACATGTGTGCCAGGCAGTAGTTCTTCATGAGCAAATGTTATTGTTGTAAATTATAATATTTAAAATCAGTTCTAGAGAAAAGGAAATGTAATCAAAAAGCTTTTTGCATTGCAAAGTTTCTCAAGCGTCTTAAGTGAAATAGAAATTATTATATCAAATGTCCTCTGTCTGATTTGAATGTGAAACCTGAATATTGATGGGTAAAATATCAAATAAATAAGACATCAACATAATTATAATTAATAAAAGTTTATAAATTAAACCTTATTACATTTGAAGAAATGTTACTCAAGTTGGCCATGGTAAATCCCATAGCAATGAGAAAGGAATTCTATAGAATTGACTCACAAAATAGATTTTTATATAAAAAAAGGAGAATATTTGTAGCTCAGGGTTGAAATATGGATCCTTGGTGCTCTTTGAGCTTGCTTGTTTTCTTGCAGACATTTCATTATCCAAATTAGATAACATTATCAGTGCTAGTCAGGAATGTGATTTGCTTGACAGTTTATATTCTGGTGGCTTGCCCTGTAAGTGTTGGTGGATTCTTAGAGAAGCTTTGGTTGAGCTGTTTACTATTGACTCTTTGGCAACTTCACCTTTTCCTTCTGATCTCCACAAAGTCATTCAGCCAATTTTCATGTGTATTGCAGAGTAGAACTCACATACTCATTTTGATTAACCCTGTCACTTATCCACCAATTGTGCTTATTGCAGAAGTAGAACTCACCATGCCTTTTGAAAGAACACAAGTCTATTGGTTATACGCCCAAAGCTACTCAGTCAGTTATCATTTATATTGCAGGATTAAAACTCACCTGATCCTGGATATCTTCCCAAAGTGACTCAAATACCTATAGTGCTTATTGCAGAACTCACAATGCCTATTGCAGAAACAGAAGTAACATTTCTTGGTTATTGGCCTAAATTAACTCAGATGGTTACTTTATTTGAAGAGTAAAACTCACATTCTCTTGATTAAAGTAATCACTTTTCCACCAGTCATGCTCATAGTGTTGTAGAAATTGTCATGCCTATGGCAGGAAGAGAAATAATCTGTTGGTTATTGGCCAAAAGTCAGTCAGCCAACTATCATCCTTACTGCAGGAGTAAAACTCACCTTTTCCTTGTGATTTGCAGAAAGTCATTCAGAGAGGTTTCATGAATATTGTAGAGTAGAACTCACTTTTTCCTTCTGATTTATCCAAAGTCATTCAGCCATCTTTTGTAAGTATTGTAGACTAGAACTCACCTTTTCCTTATGATATGCCCATAGCCATTCATCCAGCATTTGTGCATGTTATACAGAATTTGAATTTCTTGTTGATTTCCTTAATATTACTTATCGGCCCAAAGTCACTTAACCAACTAGGAGCAAAACTCAACTTTTCCTTATTATCTGACCAAAGTCATTCAGCTATAGATCATGCATATTGTAGAGTAGAACTCACCTTCTCCTGTTGATTGATCCAGTAACTTATCCAGCAGTCATGCTTACTGAAGTCAAAAAAATCACCATGCCTAAAGCAGACATATAATTTATCATCTCTTGATTATTGGGCCAAAGTCACTCTTACACAAGTCATACCTACTGCAGGTATGCAATACCTCATGCCTATTGCAGGAAGAAAAATAGCAGTATCTTGGTTATTCTCCCAAAATCTATCAACCTTACTATAGAAGTAAAACTCACCTTTGCCTTCTGATCTGCACAAAGTCATTGAAAGAGCTTTCATGAGTATTGTAGATTAAAACTCCCCTTCTCCTGTTTATTTACTCAGAAACTTATGCACCAGTCATGCTTATAGCAGGAGTAGAAATCACCATGCCTATTTCATGAATAGAAGTCACCATCTCTTGGTTATTGCCCAGATCACTCAGCTGGTTATGCTGAGTATAGCAAGAGTAGGACTTACCTTTCCTCTTATTGATTAACCTAGTCACTTAGCCACAAGTCATGCTTAGTACAGCTATGCAACATCTCATGCCTATTGCAGGAAGAGAAATAACATCTTGGTTATTGTCCCAAAGTCTCTCAACCAAATGTCATCTGTACTGCAGGAGTAAAACTCACCTTTTCCTATTGATCTGCACAAACTGATTTAGCCAGCTTCTGAGCGTTATTATGAGTTTTGCAAGAGTAGAACTTACCTTCTCTTATTGATTAACCCAGTCACTTATTAAACAGTCATGCTTATTGCAGGTATAGAACTCATCATACCTACTGCAGGAATAAAAATAAACATCTATTGGTTATTGGCCCAAAGTCACTCAACCAACTATTGTACATGCTACAGGAGTGAAACTCACCTTTTCCTTCTAATCTATAGAAAGTCATTCAGACAGCTTATTGTAAGTGTAGAATTCATCATGTCTATTGCATAAATAGAAATAACCAAGGTCACTCAGCTTGTTATTATGAGTATTGCAAGAGTAGAACTTACCTTCTCTTGTTGATTAGCCCGGTCACTTTTCCACCAGTCATGCTTACAGCAAGTGTAGAACTCATCATGTCTATGGCAGGAATAGAAATAACAATCTGTTGGTTATTGGCCCAAAGTCACTTAACTAAATACCATGTGTACAGCAGCAGTAAAACTCACCTTTTTCTTCTGATCTGCACAAAGTATTTCAGGCAGCTTTTGTGAGTATTGTAGAGTAGAACTCAATTTCCCCTGTCGCTTTGCTCAGAAACGTATCCACCAGTCATGCTTATTGCAGGAGTATAAAGCAGCATGCCTATTTCAGGAATAGAAGTCACCATCTGTTGATTATTGGCCCAGATCACTCAGCTGATTATGCTCTGTATTGCAAGAGTAGTATTTACCTTCTGTTGATTTACCCAATCACTTTTCAAACAGTCATGCTTATTGCAGGTGCAGAACTCATCATACCTATTGCAGGAATAAAAATAAACATCTATTCTATTGGTTATTGGCCCAAAGTCACTCAACCAACTATTGTACATGCTACAGGAGTGAAACTCACCTTTTCCTTCTAATCTATAGAAAGTCATTCAGACAGCTTATTGTAAGTGTAGAATTCATCATATTGCATAAATAGAAATAATCAAGGTCACTCAGCTCGTTATTATGAGTATTGCAAGAGTAGAATTTAAAGCGGCTTTTGATACCATTGACCATGGTATCCTTCTGGGGCGACTATGGGAGCTAGGAGTGGGAGGCACCATGTTGCAGTAGTTTGCCTCCTATCTCTCTGGTCGATCACAGTCGGTGCTGGTAGGAGGACAGAGGTCGACTCCTAGGCCCCTCGTCTGTGGGGTGCCTCTGGGCTCGGTCCTCTCTCCCCTCCTATTTAACATCTACATGAAACTATTGGGTGAAATCATCCAACGACACATGGTGGGATATGCTGATGATACCCAGCTATATATCTCCACCCCTCATCAGTTCAGTGAGGCAGTAGATGTGATGTGCCGGTGCCTGGAGGCTGTGAGGATCTGGATGGGAGTCAACAGGCTCAGACTTAACCCAGACAAGACCGAATGGCTCTGGGTATTGCCCCCTAAAGACTATGTTGATTGTCCATCCTTGGTTCTAGCAGGTGAGAAAGTGCCCCCCTCAGAACGGGCTTGCAATTTGGGTGCCCTTCTAGACTCACAGCTGAGACTGGAACAACATCTGACAGCTGTAGCTAGGGGGACCTTTGCACAGGTTCATCTGGTAGACCAATTGTGACCCTAATTGGATCAGGAGGCTCTCCTCACAGTCACTCATGCCCTTGTCACCTTACAGTTGGATTATTACAATGCGGCTACCCTTGAAAAGTGTTCGGAGACTACAGTTGGTCCAGAATGCAGCCGCGCGAGTGCACCTAGATACACCCACATTACACTAATTCTCCGTGAGCTGCACTGGCTCCCTATTGGTCTCTGGGTGCAATTCAAAGTGTTGGTCATTACCTTTAAAGCCCTATATGGCTCAGGGCCAGGCTATCTTCGAGACCGCCTTCTACCACATAGCTCCCAGCGACTGATAAGATCCCATAGAGTCAGTCTCTTCTGGGTCCCATCAGCTAAACAATGTCAGCTGGTGGGCCCACGGGAGAGGGCCTTCTCTGTGGCTGCCCTGGCTCTCTGGAACCAATTACCTCCTGAGGTCCGGACCGCCCCCACCCTATTGGCCTTCTGAATTGCAAGAGTAGTATTTACCTTCTCTTGTTGATTAACCCAATCACTTTTTCACCAGTTATGCCTACAGGAGGCATAGAACTCGTCATGCCTATGGCTGGAATAGAAATAAAAATCCGTTATTATTGGCCCAAAGTCATTGAACCAACTATTGTGCATACTGCATGAGTAAAACTCACCTTTTCTTTTTAATCTGCAGAAAGTCATTCAGACAGCTTTCATTAGTATTGTAGACCACAACTCTCCTTTTCCTTGAGATCTGTCGAAATTGAAAGAGGAAGTATATACATATTTTTCTCACATATACAGTTTTGTCCTCTATAGTTGACACACAGCCTAAGGAACCCATTCTTCTTTTCTTTAAAAAGGCCAGTGGCTGCCATCTTTGATTTGGCCAGTTGAACGGAGCCTCTGGCCAAATTTTTGTCTATGAATGTACAGCATTCGTCTCTCTGGATACCATTGAATATACTTTTGATTTTGGTAACTTGGCCCTAGGCAAGATCGCAATTCTACAGTTTATGGGGCGGTAGTATAGAAGGGTGTTGGAAGTGTCCTTTTTGCTAAAAATCCTCAGTCAGGTCATAATACTCTTTAGGAATCAATGGCTGTGAGCCATCACCTCCCTCTAGTTTATTGGCAGGCTCCACTTTCGCTTTTTTAACCATAGGCATAGGGCAATTTCTTAGCACTTTCCACTAATGCTTGCTGGTTGGATGCTTTCCTTTGCATTTGCTACCTGTCTCTATCCCAATCGACAGATGCACTCCAATTTATCCACTATGCCAGGCTTAGGACTATGGCCTCTGTCATCCTGAGGGTCACAATAAATCAAATAGTCTCTGTACGGGTTGACTTTCAGATTCACAGGATGGTTAGGCAGGTCACTGGCACTCTGCCTATTATCAAACCATCTAGCTGGGAAAATGCTATAGGCTTTTTTAGCCTCATCCCTAGCTTCTCTGCCATCTGAGGGTTGACCAGATATCTGATGCACTCAAGTCCAACAGGGATGTAAGGATCCCCTTAACACCTGAGGAGGATACCAAAATCTCCACCCTAGTAGTTATAGGGATGATGATGCCACTTACCATTGGATCATCATCTCCTTCGTTGTCACCATCATAGAAGACTGGCCCCATCTTAGCAAAGGTTGGAGTTCCTTCTCCCTCACTGGCTGGAGGGTAAAACTCTACAACATTCTGCCCTGCACAAGTTTTCTCTTGGTGGAGCATTTTTTTTCTTCAGTTGGCTTGAAGGCTGGGGAACAGTCATTGATTGTTGCATGAGACACTTGGGAGCTCGGTGCCCCTCTTTTCCCAATGAAAGCAGCCACCAAGGTTCTGGTGAGGTTTCTTCCCTTTGGATGGAAGCGCACCCCCTTTTTTCTCCCTCTGGGAGCCACTTATTTCTCTTCTGGGTGGTGAGGCCAAATCTCCTGCCCAAATCTCCTGCCCAGTGTTTGTGGAACTCCATCAGATCAATTTCTACCTCAGTTGCCACATGGTACCACATTTTCAGGTTGCAGGGCACTCCTAGGGATTGCCAATTCTGGTACAGTTCCTTGTTCAGTGCCTCTCAGAAATTGTAGACCAGCAAGTATTCAGGCAGTCTCCCAAGTGCTGGCCAGGTGGTAGAAGTTTTGAGTGTACTCCATTACTGATCATTTCCCTTGCTTCAAGGCATGCATCCAGGCTTCTGTGCATCAGGCAGCCATGGGGTCCTCGAACCACTCTTGCAGGGCTTGCATGAAGGTGTTGAGGTCATCCAGCTATGGTGCCTCTTCATCAAACAGTGACACCAACCACTCTGACACACTCTCTTTCAGGTTGACCATGATGACATGGACCTGGGCCACATCATCTCAGTACGTTGCTCCATAATGCTCCATGTAGTGCCTGTTCTGCCCCAACTATGGACTCCATAGTGAGCCAGGCTAAGATTCGATATTGGGATAAAACTCAAATATTAGAAATCCAAATCTTTGGTCAAGACAGAAGTGCCTCTCCCGTGCCAAGGTGCTGAGATGACAAACGGTATTTGACGTAGGTACAGAATTGTAAAAGGGCAAACTGACCCTAACCAGATACATTCTGTTGTTTAATGTTTATTGTACCCCAAATGTCATGTAGATTTCAGAGAGAAAATACTGTTTCCCTTACTGTCCTCTTTACTGCTTGCCCAGTCCGTTATTTTGTCTACAACAATAGAACATAGCACACACAAAGTCCGTACAAACCTTAGTTTACTAAATTAAATCAGTCTTTTACAAACAAAGGCTGTTAATTAACTTTATTAACAGCCTACAAAAATCCAAAGAATAAATAATCGTAATCTTACTATGGTTGGCAGAATGCCCAGAAGCAATTTACAGGAAACTGATAAGAGAACTAAGATCCAGATGCGAAGGAATGTGAACGAAGTTGTTCTCTGCAAATTGCTTCAGTTGTCGTCCTTTCTTAAATAGGCTAAGGGAATGACTAATTAGCCCCAAACTTTACTCTCAAGAAGACCTCCTCCTGAGGAGCCACTCCTGCCTTTTGGCAGCTCTGTGCACCCATGCATTGAGAAGTGGCTCTTCCTCTTCTTCCTTCATTTATGGGAGCTTCTGGAGGTTCTGAAAGCCCTGGCTGAATGCCCGCTTCTGGCAACACATCTTCTACAGCCTCCTCATTGTCTGACTCGAGTGCCAGCTGCACAGGCTGCTGGCGCAGCACCACACCAGCCTCCTCACTGTCGGAATCAGCTACTAGCTGCACAGGCCACTGACAGGCCACAACAGTGCCAGGCTTGAGCCAAGAAATGGTCTAGGCAGTTTGGAGGTCCATCAAAATGGGCCATCGGGGGTAGTAGTGTTCTTCCCACACCAGGATGAACCCCTGGGATGGGATATTGTTCACTGCTACTGATGCCAGTGCTGGAGCTCCAGATGTGGCTGTGGCCACTTGTGATGAGGCTCTGACTGCAGCTGGGGCCACCAGTGGCACTGGAAGAGGGGGTAGTGGTGAAACCCCTGCCACTTGTGCTGGGGCTCCAACCATGGCTGCCAGTGATATGGGCTGAAGAACAGGAAGAGAAGCTCCACAGTTTCCAGTGTGTTCATTGCACAGATTTCCATCCCTTCAAACTTATCTCAAAGCTGTTCCATGTGTCCAGTTTCAATTCAGAGTCATTCCATTCAGCTAGGTGTTTCGCTCTCCATCTGTTGCATCAGACCATGTTGACCCCAGAAGGGAGAAGAGGGTCATCAGCTTCCACTGCCTTGCCCACATTTTTGGCCCAATAGATCTTTGGCCCATGGTGCAGAATGTCCTTCATTTGCTCCTTTGTGGCTACAGATGGTTACTTGGACTTCTCAGTCTTTGAGTTTGGATCAGTGGTGGGTTGCTCCCGGTTTGCACTGGTTTGAAAGAACCGGTAATAAAAATTTGTAGTAATTCAGAAAACTGGTAATAACGTTGGCTGGCCATGCCCCTGAACCAGCCGGCCTGGTTGCCACTCGCTCACTCCACCCACCTCATTAGAGGCTTTTTTTTTTACTTTTAAAAGCCTTGGTGGTGCAGCCAACTAAATGCTGTTATGTAGCATTTAGCTGCCAGCTGCCTGCAATTAGTGCAAGTTCAAATCTCACCAGGCTCAAGTTGACTCAGCCTTCCATCCTTCCAAGGTAGGTAAATTGAGGACCCAGATTGTAGGGGCAATAAGCTGACTTTGTAGAAAATACCACTTATGGGGGGGCCAAAAGCCCTAATAAGCAGGTATATACAAAAGAATGAAGGCTATTTCTATACGTGCATTGTAAGCTGCCCTGAGTCTTCGGAGAAGAGCGGCATATAAATTGAACTAATAAATAAATAAATAATTTTTTTCTACAACCTCTTTGGCCAAAGAGGTTGTAAGAAAAAAATGCCTTTAAAAGCCTCTGGCGATCCCAGGTGAGTTGCCTGATTGCCAGAGGCTTCTACAAGCATTTTTTTCTGCAATCTCTTAGGATTGTAGAAAAAATGCTTTTAAAAGTGAAAAAAAAAAGTTGGCCACACCCACACAGTCACATTACCCCCCCACTAAGCCATGCCTACAAAATAAGCCACGCCCACAGAACTGGTAGTAAAAAAAATTAGAACCCACCCCTGGTTTGGATGCACATTGGTGGCTTGTGCTCCTGTTCTGGTTTGAGGTGGTGCCAGCTCTTCCTGAGCCAGAATCTCTCCTGGTTTCTTCTTTTCCTCCAAGTCTTTGCCCATAGTTGACATCTTGAGGTTGACCTCCTGGTAGATTACCTGGTAGGATCCAGGTAGACTATTTCTTGGAGAACTGATTTAAAGTCAACCATCTCATCAGTGTAATTAGTAAAAGAACCTCCTGGGACCTTCTTTTAACCAAGAGAATAATCTAACTGAAAATTTCCCATGGGTACAGAGAAGTTCAAATGGTAAAGCCGGTTCTAATACTTTTGCATAAAAGCAGCATAGGGAAACTTTCCTTTTCCCCCTTCCCATTGTACATAGTCCATCAATTATTTACACTCTCTTTGTTTTGAGAATGATCTATCTACCTTAGACTTCCCCAGTTGGTGACCTCGAGGTGTTGGGTCTGCCTCAGGCTTCCAGTCACCACACTGGAAATTCCAAATTTCACACATTCTAAATTTCCCTCCCAAACTTTCCTTATATTCCAATGCCTTCCCTGCCCCCTCCTGTTACAGTTGTCTGGTTTCAAGTGAAGCTGTGTAGTCAGTCAACCCTGACATGTCCATCTCTTGGTTATCGACCCAAAGTCACTCAGTCAGCTCTTGTGCTTATTGCAGGAGTAGAACTCACCATCTATTGCTGCTGTCTTCAAAGTCACCCAGTTGTCTGTCATGTGTATTGCAGTAGTAGACTTCACCAATTATTGCTTATTGTTGCAATATCATTCATCCACCTGTCATATCTTTCAGCAGTAGAACTCACCTTCACAAGAGATCTACCCAAAGTTATTCAGCCACCTGCCCTGGCTATTTCAGAAAAAAACCTGACCATGCCTATTGCAGGAATAGAAGTCACAAGTGATCGACCCAAAGTTAGTCAGCTGCCTGTCATGGTTATTTCAGGACAAGAACTCACCATGCCTATTGCAGGAATAGAAGTCACTGTCTTTTGCTTATTGGTACAAAGTCATTCAGCTGCCTGTCATGCATATTCCAGGATTAGAACTCACCATCTACTGGTGATTAACCCAAGCTGTGTGTCAAGCATATTGCAGGAGTAGAATTCAACACATAATGCTTATTGGTACAAAGTCACTCAGTAGTCCATCATGTGTATTGAAGCACTAGAACTTACCATAACTGATGCAGGACTACAAATCACCATCTCCTGGTTATGGGCCCAAAGTCATGCAGTGGGCTTTCATGATTAAGGTTCAACCAGAACACAGTGTCTCCTGGTAATTGACCCAAAGCCTCAGCCATCTGTCCTCTGTATTGTAGGAGTAGAACTCACAATCATGATCTGCCCAAAGTCATTTAACCATCTGTCTTGGGGATTGCAGGACTAGAACTAGATAGAGACTAGGACTAGTATCTAGCTTGCTACCTTGACCTTTAAATGAAACTGCTTCCCATTTAGGGAGATTGTGTGTGCCCATCTCTTGCAACTGGCTGAGCAGCTCAATATAAGTTGCCACTTATCCCCACCCCAGGGACTTATGCTTATGGAAATGGACTGTGTTGGTGCATCTCTTCTCTGATGTCACAATGGAGGGAGGGGAGGAGGCAGAGGCATCTGTGATTGGTAGGGAAGACAAAGCTGCCCCAGATTCCTCACCACCCATTGGCTGTATTACAGTGTCATCATATTAAAGCAGAATTATAGTTTTGGAGTAATATTTAAAGACAATCAAAGTAATAGTTGATGAATTTATAATATAACTGCCTAATAATGAGAGTGTAAGTTATTGCTAAAAAAAAAAAAATAGAGTGTCCAAGAAGGATTGTAACTGGACAGTAATCCAAGTTGGTAAGGATTCTTTGGATTATGTTGTCTTCCTATTTCACTAGAAGGAGCTGTGAGTCCAATTAATATACCTTTTTCTCCACATGAATTACAACTCTGTCCAGAATTAACACTAGAACCAGGATCATGTCAGTTTGTTTACTCATGAACAATAATTGGTCAGTTCAATTTAAGCTTTTTTTATCCTACACAGTACTGTAAAGTATCAGAAACATATTCATTTCATCTCCACCTTGACCTTCCAATGTATTGCTGGGGATCATCAGGATCTTGATGAAATCTCAATCTAAACTGATGGATGACTTCTGACAGTAGCTTTCTATAACTGTCAGGAAACATGGGGGAGAAAGAGATAAGCCCCAGGACAATATTGGTGGTTAAAATATCAAAGAAAATGAACATAAAGGAATACATCAGGATTTTTACAATTAGTAAGGATTTATTAATAGTCCCAATAGTTACATCATTAGAGAGATGCTATTCCAGTTGTCCATGGTAAACCCCAATAACAGTGAGGAAGGAGTTCCATAGTATCAACTCACAAAATGGGCTTTTATGGGGCAGATCTTTCAGCCCCTTTCTTCCTCCCCTGCCTCTTGGAATACATCTCCTGGTCAGAAGAAAGTTAACAAAAAGTAAATTGATCTCCATTCATATTTCAACTGCATAATTAAAGAACAGTAAAAAGCCATATTGATAGATAATTGAAACTCCATGCAGAAAGCTACATGTTGCAGAGGCTGCTTCCCTTGTTAACCTTATTTCAGTGAGGCAAGGGTCATGCATGGAGGTAAAAGTTGTTAGCATTTAACTTGTTAAGGTCAAAGTGGAAAGTTTGTTTTTTCAAATCTCATGCTTGGCAAGCAAATATCATGTTGTTCTGGAAAACCGGGAAGAAGAACTAGCTTGCTTAAGCAGGCTTTTTAACATTTTTGAAGTGGTTTAAAACATTGATTTTTATTCTGGTTTTCATTTATTTCCTCTCAAACTTTTCAGCTGAAACTATACATACTAATTTATCACTTCCCCAAATATATACATGTCTGTACACATCTGCTTCTTTTATATATTTTCACCGACTGTATCTCTTGAAATTGCATTACCAAACCTGGAGAAATACAATAGCCCAAGCACTCTTGTTCTACATTACACTACAGGAAGTGTGCATTATATTGATTTTGTTAAAGATTTCAAGCTCCAGAAATGCAATCACATTGGTAACATAAGGGAGTTCAGCAATGAATTGAGTATTTCCAACTTGTTTAACTGAAGGGAATCTCAGGATCTTCTATCATTTTTAAGGTATCCAAAAGTTTTCATTGCTTTCAGTGTTTCTACTTTTCGCTCTTTGCTGCGTTCCATGCTTGCGAGTGATTTCTTCAGAGACTTTAATATCATTTGAGTAACTACATAAAAATCCTACATGAAATTGCATCTTTTTCATGACAGTTCAGCTCTGGGGCACAACCTAGAGGATGTACATTTTAATGGAACATGCAGTACAAAATATTTGCATCCTATCTCTCCATGATAAAGTTGTATATACAGATGCTGAAAATAATTACAATCCCATTGCCTTAAATTACACTTCTTAATATAAATGTGTATACTATCTGTCCTAATATTTCTTATCATTATAATTATAATAAAGTGTAGGGAAATTGTATATTTCTAAGCCTAGCTTTGTGTAGTGGCTTGCACCTCATTCCAAAAAGTGCTTCAGAGAACACAAAAGAATGAAAAAGCATTGTCTAAAACTCCTTAAAATAGCTGTAGCATTCTTTAGGTATAGGTCACAGGTGTCAAACTTGATCATGTAACATGACATATCATGATGTATCATGATGTTTTTTGTCTTTGCAAAGTCAGAGTGGGCTGAGTGTGGCGCATCCAGCCCATTGGCTGCCAGTTTGACAGGCCTGGTGTAGGTGAACACTGTAGAGGACTGATCAGGGGTGAAATGCTCCCGGTTCGGACTGGATCGGGAGCGATGGAGGTGGGTGGTTCAGAGAACCGGTAGCAAAACTCCCTGCCCCCACCCCATGCCCAGCTGAGCCACGCGATCATCAGAGGCTTTTTAAATTATTTTTAAAAGCATTTTTTCTACAACTTCTTCGGCAGAAAAAATGCTTTTCAAAGTAAAAAAAAAGCCTCTGATGATCGTGCAGCTCAGCTGGGATTGTCAGAGGCTTTTAAAAGCATTTTTTCTACAACCTCTTCAGCTGAAGAGATTGTGAAAAAAAATGCTTTTAAAAGCTTTTGACTATCTCAGCTGAGTTGCCTGATAGAGACTTTTCAGGCAACTTAGCTGTGATCATCAGAGCCTTTTAAAAGCATTTTTTTACAACCACTTCACCGAAAGTAAAAAAAAGTAAAAGTAAAAAAAAAAGTTGGCCATGCCCATCTAGTCACATTACCCCCACCACACACACCAAGCCACACCCATAGAACCGGTAGTAACAAATTTTAGATTTCACTACTGGGACAGGTGTACAATTGTACAAAAAAGAGAGCTTTTTGAAAGAGCTGAAGGTAAATACAACATTCAGCTGTGATGATATGAGGATTCCTCATCTGTAACCCCTTAGAAAACAGCAGAGTCAATGTAGAAGCTTAATTCCTGCAGATAGTCCAAAGACTTCTATGGTTGATAGCATCAAATGTTTAAAATGGCATCTGCTTCTATAAATGACAGATAAAGATATTATTATATTATAGAGAGAGACCATTTGGTCTAGTGCTTAATGTGCTGGCCTAGACATCAAGAAACTCTGAGTTCTAGTCCTGTTTTAAGCATAAAAGGCATGACTTTGGGTCAGTTATTCTCTCTAATCCCAATCCAAATCACCGTATTGTTGTTGTGGGAAAATAGGATGAATGAGTGAGTATTAGGTATGTTTTCCACCTCAGTTATTTCCAAAATAATAAATGCATGATAAACAAACAAACAAACAAATATTCTTTGAGCCTCTATTTGGAGGAAAAGCTGGATAGAAATTTAATTAATGCATATGTTGTGGTATACACAGAATGTATGATGGGTGTTTGAACATGATAACATTTTTCATTCAATTTTATTTTGGTTTTCATTACACCACTTGCTTTTATCCTTACATTTTCTTCAGTACCTCTTATTTGCAGATATGGGCAATTATCTCCCCTTTCAATAGGATCAGTGATGCATTTCTTTTTTTTTTTAATTTTTAAAAGAAAACTTTATTCATTCTTAAAAAACATTTAAAACATACACGTTTCTCTTAGTCAAGAAACAAATTTACATATACAGTACAATGCCAATTCCTCCTCTCTGCAGGGATTGAGCTGGAAGACATCCAAGGTGACTTTCAACTTTGGACAAAGTCAGCTTGTGATAGTCACTTTCTATCCACCATGGCAAAGAAAACAGTAAAATACAAAACATAAATAACAACATTATATAATATTTTACAACTTTCTTCATCGACAATTATCTTTACTTTTAAATTCAATCATTCTAATCATTATCTTATTCTTGTATAACCATATTGAACATTCTTATAAACTAAATTGTTATATATACTTACATCCTATTTATTAACATAGTCAATATTTTATCCTTACCAGTATTCAATACTCTTAGATTCCAATTGGTTAAATTTCGATTTATATTCTTATTTCTTGTTTTGATTACTATTTTCTAGCTATGTATATAATTTATTCCACACATTATAGTAGTCCGAATCATCTCTTTCTTTAATCTCCATTCTCATTTTATCCATTTCAGCACATTTGAGGATCTTTTTAATTACTATTTCTTCAGATGGTGTATTGATCTATTTCCACATTTGTGCCAGAGCAATTCTGGCCGCCATTAGTATATGTTTTTTTCTTTTTTTTTAATCTTTATTTTTGTCATTTTCTATTATGTTTTTGGTTTTAAAAATGTAAAATATTCAATAAAAACTATTTTTTTAAAAAAAGCAAAGGAAAAAAATAGCAAAACACTTTTGGAAAATCTTGGCATAAAAACTGCACAGATATGTCCACATAGTCGTCAAGAATTAGCCCTTATTGAATGAAAACAAAAATTGGTAGGATTATATATGAAAATAGATAAAGATAAATAATCAAGAAGTTAATAATATAAGATCTCTGCAAAGAGAATTTAGTCTGGTAGAGTATTAAATTTCAAGGATTAAAGCTGCCTTTCAAAAGTGAATGGAAGTTACACTTTCCATTTTCAAAGCATGAAGGGAAAACAGGCTTACCTTGACCACAAGTAGCTTAACTATGATAAAATAACTAAGTAAAATGACATAGTTCTGATTCAGTAATATAAAATACTAATTCACCTTATGGATTTTTCAGTGGATTAAAAATAATAAATCGCCTTTCAACTATGAATGATTCTTAGACATAATACCAGACTTAAACATATTATACAATGCACCTTGGATCTCTCTGTTCCTCATAGTATAAATAATCGGATTCATCAAAGGAGGAATCATAGAATAGAATACAGTGATCGCGATTTCTACATTTGAAGCGGAGACAGAAGGAGGTTTTAGTAAATTAACACTTGTGGTGCTGATAAACAAGGAGACAACATTAAGATGTGGAATGCAAGTTGAGAAGGCC